TCCTTCAGTAACACCTGGACTTCACCCTCTGAGTTTCCCTTTCCAGTGCCTTCCCTGATCTGTCTGACAGAGATCAGCCGTGGAAGAGCCCGTGCTGGCAGCAATGCTGTACCTGTAAGCATTGCGATAGCAAGTTTGCTCAGGTTTACTTGAACTCTTGTTCTGAGGCTCTCAGTTGATTTAGGTGCTGTCCTTGGCCTGGTTTTGTTGGTCAGTCACGATGGCAGCAGATTTACCTTTTTTTAAATAAAAACTCAGATTTTGCTCAACCTGAGCCTTCATTTAGGTTGCCCCAAGTACCTCACCTATACTAGGACCCTCCTGCTCTAAAGCATGCACATCCATTTTGTCTGCGGGAGAGAATTGCCGTGCCTCTCTGTATGGGCTGGCTTTCACAGCATGGGGTTTTCTTTCCATCGCTTGCCACTTTATGTTTGTGAGTTTGCCCAAGGTACTCTGCCAGAGATGGGGGACAGAAATTTTCCTTTTTACCTCGTGCTTGGTGCTGCCTGCCTCAGACTGGTTCTTGCAGGTCACTGGGGAGCACACTCCAGCTCCTGAGGTCCCCAAACCTGTCTTGGTTTATGAATTACTGCAGAACCTGCCTCCGTCCTTTTTGTTTTGGGTGTTTTGCTCATGTGAAACGGATCTGCTTTTCTAAGAATACAACTGGGTACATGTTTCCAGAGATGATCCTCTGGAGCAGGAGTACCAACAGCCCCTGGGATAGGTTCGCTTGCCTTTCCCCGTGCGCTACAAACTGGTTCCTGTCTTCCTAAACACTACAATTTGCCTTTTTCTTGGCTTTGCAGTAACTTAAGCATTATTACAAGGTGCAAGAATTACCAGCCGAGCAGCATTTGTGACAGTCTGGCAGTTGGAGGTGCAGTAAGTGCTGCATTTCTGAGCAGACCATACATGACATGCTAATTATGGTGCTGACAGACTTGGCATTTGGAATGCCTTGGTTTCCCTCTGTTGACAGTCTTTAAAGGTCCCAGCTGTCACATCCATGACTGACAGGAATGAAGACAACATATCCCTGTGGGCTTCTTGCATTTTTCTCTTTCGGTATTCACTAATGGCAGGGATGGGAAGCTATCTCCCTGTTGCATTTCTATTGCCCTGGCTCCCTAGGGAGGACCTGAACTCCACACTACCTGTAACGTGGTTTTGGTGGGGATTTTTTTTGGTGAAGGCAACATGGTTAGCCTTGATAAGTACCTGGTCGCCCTGGCCCGGTGCCTGAATGCCAGAGGAACTGGGCCTTTTGCACTTGCAGAGGGAGCCTCTGCAATACGGAGTCACCGGGAGTCCTCGCCAGCGTGCAGTGTTCTGCCCTGATTTAGAGGCACTTCCAGTCTGAACCAGTAGGTCAGTTCCCATCGCTGCTCCATGATCTCCTCCTTCCTTCAGGCCTCTACAGTAGTCCAGACCTAATCTGCCTTCTTCATTCCCACAGTCTGACACAAACTGTCATCCCCTTGCTGTTCTTTGGGAATAAGGGCTGTTTTAAAGCCCTTTCTCTCATTTCTACGTAGTGCCCTTGAGAGGTACATTGTTCTGGGGAAAGGAAGAGGTAAGTGCAAAGAAGATGTATCCAGCTTTCTCTGTGAGTTATTAAGGGTGCCACGGTGTGCCCTCTTGTGTTAGCCCTGCGTCAAGGGAGCTTTGTTAAGTCCTTTTGCAGGTAGAGGGTAATGTAAGAGAGCCAACATGGTTAAGCTTAGTAAGGGGAAAAACCAAAAAAAGCCCAGTAAATGTGCATGGAACATAATTTCCCATATTCAAACCAGATTCCTTTATCACCATGGATTCCACCATGAAGAGCAGGCAGCTGTGGCAAGGATTCTCTGCACGAAGGTCAGTGCTGCATCCTCTCTTCCCATTTAACTATCACGGTGCTTGTTTCTGTCTTGAGTTAGCCAGTGTGACACTACCTGGGGTCTCAGTGGTGATGGTCACCAGGAAACAGAGCAAAACCATCTTTCTTTATTATTTTTCTTTGCAAGCTATTGGATACGTTCAGTTTCTGAGATGAGGGGAGTAAAGAGACCTGAAAAAAAGGGGATGAAGGCTTTTACTGTAAAATAGAGATGTCATCTTCAGATAATAAGAAACCGTCTTCTTGTACAGGAAAAACTCCAGCTTCAGCTACAGATGATACAAAATATGGCTTCTATCTTTCTTGCCTTTAAAAAATTGAAAGATTGTGCAGTGATTAAGGAGCAAAAAAGAAAATATATTTATGTGTCTCAGCACAAATGTCACAAGCCTGGGAAAAAGGTACTAGGCAGCTGTCAGAAATGTAGGCTTAAGAGAAAAGCTGCCTGTCCAAACTCCCTCCACAAAAAAAAAATGCTGCTCTAAGAAGCTGTTTCACATTATTTCCCATTGTAGTGTGCTCTGCGGGGATCTGACACGTGTCTGTTTCACAGTGATTAACAGCAAGTCCTTTCCAATTGATTGGCCTTTGAAAAATGACAAACAGTACTTTGCATCAGCTGAGATCTGCCAGTTGCTCTTCCTGTACCCTGATTCTGGCCAGGACTTTTAACCGTAAAAAAAACAGAGAGACTGACTGCTGGTGGCATGTGAAAATGCGCATGGCACCCCTTTCAATGCACTACGAATAAAAATCATTAGCCCTACTTGTCTAGAAAGGGCCATGGAAATCCCAAATCTGAGCTATAAGTATGTGTATATAGTTTTATGTCAGATTTTTGCTATTTGAATAATGTTTTCCGTATGTTTTAAAAGCGTTACACCCCCTTCTTTTCCCCTCTGGTTCTCCTGTGATATATGGGTAGATGTTGTTCAGCTGCACATCTGAAAGCACTGAGCTGATGTCTTAAAGACCAGCTCCATTTTACAGATATCTTCCCCACACTAGAAGAAGAGTCAGTCCAAGCAGTGAAATTGGAACCTAAGAAATCCTTACAGAGCTCTGGAAAATGTCAGACTAGACTGCCCATGTCTTGACAAATGAGTTATGGGGGAGAAAACTGCCTTCAAGTTCCTGTTCAATGCACGATAGCCATAAGTGGTGCTGAGTGTTAGAA